CTCAGGCAGTCTGGGGGGAACGCCATGAAGAACATCAAACGCAAGCTCAACTACATCCAGCGATACTGGAAGGGCCCAATGCTGCTGGCGCTGCAGGCGACGCACGCGTCCGAGCACAGCTTGGAAGTGCTCTTGAAGCGAGCGGCGAAGCCACGCGAAGATGCTGGAGGGATAGCCACGGTGGTGCCTGAAACGGCGGACGGCTACACCAGCGATGTTTTCTCTGAGGAGCTGGCCCCTGGACGGTTTCTCAGGCCCCATAGGACCAGTCGCCCCGCGGCTCGCGGGAGACGGCCATGCGACTTCGTTCACTGGGACATTCACAATCATGATATTTCACCCGATCAATGGCGTCGAGTGGCAGGCCGCATTCGCGCGGACCTGGCCCGGGCTCACCAGAGCCCCACCACCCGCTCCACCTTCGCCGCTGGCGATTTCAATTTTGGCGACTACGACGAGTTCGACAACTTCACCCAGGGCGACCAGCAGCTGCAGCCGCCTGCCCCGCCCCCACGGGCCTCCCGCTGCTGGCGGCCGCCCGGCGATTCGGAAGTGTTTTTTGGGGGGAACCCGAGCCTCGGCCCGAGTATTCCGTCGGGCACGGCCCGGCACGATCAGGCACTTTCTCGTTCCTCTCAGCAGGCACCCGCGCCCGCTGGCAGGGCCGAGGCGGGGGCCGCTTCGAACCGGGCAGCGCGCCTCGCTCGCCGACCTGGCCAGCGGCATTGGCTCGAGGCGCCGCGGGCGGCCGCCGAGCCGACGCCCGGCAAGCCGACGCACTGGAACGCCAGCACGCGCGCCAGCTCCACCATCGACCGCGCGATCGCGGGGATCCCGCGGCGGCAGCTGCGCCATGGCCGGCGGGTCTGCCGGGCGCGGGGGAAAGCGCGAGACCCCCGCGCCCGCGGGATCAGCGACCGCGCCATGGTCGTCGCATCGCTGCTTCGGCGCCAACGCGCTGCGCGACACCCTGACACGCCATCCGCGATCTCCAACGACGTGGCCCAGCGGCCGCGCTCCAGGGAGATCGTCGACGGCCACCTGAAGACGGCCCCCTTTCTCCACCAGGCCCCACCAGACGAGCACGATCACTTCACGAGGATTCTGCAGGCGGCCGCCAGGGATGTCCAGGACAGGCCCCTCGCGGCGGAGGGCTGGACCGAGGGCGCCCCGGCCATCATCTGGCGTCAGCTGGCCCGCGCCGACTGGCGCCAAGACTGGCGCCTGGCCTCGCTGGCGGTGACCCGAAACGCCTGGGCGCAGGAGCTCGCCACGGTCTCGGCGCTGGCTCGCTCTGTCGAGATCGCCAATTTCGATGAATTCCAGCGGCGCGACAACATCGCCCAGCGGCAGGAAGCTAACTGCAGGCGCCGCCGACTCGAGGGGGCTGCCCAACAGGAGACGGAGGAGCGCCGCCGCCGTCAATTCATGGCGCAGCAGCGGGCCTTGTGGCGGAGGGCGAAGCTCGGGGCCCCCATCAATGCGAGGCGCTACCTCGCGCGCCTCGAGGTGAACGGCGACGACCTCACCGAATCGGCCGCCATTGCCTCGGCGCTCGGCCAGCACCGGGGCAAGGCGTTCTGCCCGCCGCTGGCGCCCGAGATCAGCGAGCAGCGGGCTCGAGGACAACCGGTGTACCTGGAGCGCTCCGGGGCCCCCGCGATCGACTGGGACGTCATCGCGCCGCCCACACTGCAGTCGGCGAGGGAGGCGCTGCGCCGCGCGCGCCCTGCAGCCCCTGGCCTTGATGGCCTTCCCACGGCAGCTTACTAGGCAGTGGCATCTGGCGGCGCGGCGACCCTTCACTGCGCGACGATGCGGGCGCTGTGCGGGAGGCCGATGCGCACGGACTACAATCACGCCATCGCTGTCTTCCTGCTGGAGGGCTTGCTCGCGGCCGACCGCGCGGGCGTCTCGCGCGAACCTGAGAGCACGCGCCCGCTGGCTTTGCGCAACACGGGGGCCAAGGCAATCAGCGCTGCCTTCAAACACCCGCCGAAGCGAGCGGTGCAGGCGGCGGCCGCTCCGAGCCAGCGTAGTTTCATGCGCGCAAGGCATTTTTTCTAAAATTTGATGGAGGACGACAGCTTCGCTCGCATCGCTGGCTTGTAAGCTCTAAACCATCCCTCTACCGATCGTGCATCTCCTTTTCTGCTTGCGTTTAATTATGCCCACGCCTTTCCCTCTGTCGTTCACTCCTGGCTATGGTCGTTTCTTGCCGCTTGGAATGCCCCCGAAGCCCTGGCCCATGCCATCCGAGCCAACTATGTCCTGGCCTCGGCGATGAGCTCTGTTTGCCCTCGCACTCTCCTCCATCCTCGCGGGGGTCCTCCAGGGGGACCCTCTTTCAAGTAGCCTCTTCATGCTAGCCGCACACCCGTTGTGTGCAGACATGGAGCGCACCCTCGAGGCCGCTGGCAAAGGATTTGGGAGCTGGTGCGCGGACGACGTGGGGGCGGCTACCTGGGGAAAGCTTGGCCTCAAGGAGATCGCTCGAATTTCCATGAATTATGAAGAACTCGCGGGGTTCGCTTTAAAACCATCGAAATGCTGCGCCGTCCCTCTCTGGGCCCCGTGGGATGAGTCGCTCACTGGTCTGACGTCGGAGCTGCTCACTTTTGCTTGCAAGACATGGTCTGCGTTCAATATCGGCCACACAATTATCTCGGCTGTATAGTTGGCCCCGCGGCAGCGCTGGGGGAGCAATGGTCAGAGCCAGCATCGAAGCTCGGACACCACGTCGCCGCTCTGTCTCGCACCCGTGTTGATGCTGCTGTTGCCGTCGCCCTGTACCACGACAGGGTAATGAGCGTGCCCTCGTACAAGTCACAGTTATATGCTCTCCCGAGATCCTTCCTGCGGCGAGAAAAAGAACTGCTGACCCGTCTTTTTCGGGCCCCTGGATCCTGGCTCTCGTCCTCCTGCTTCTTCGACCTCCCCTCCACTGGCGGCCCCCAGGTCCACGGAATCAGGAGCAACGCTCTCGCCGTTAGGACGAGGACCGCTTCGGCATTCACACCCTGCTGGACCCAAATGTGCGGCCCCTTTTGAGGAGGCAGTGTGGGACCTCGCCCAAGTCGGCCAGCTGCACTGGCGCGGCCCCAACGGGGCCAAGGAGCTCTGCCCGTGGCCCTCCTTTTGGCGGCAGCCGGCGGTGGCGTGGACCTTGCGGGAGTCGGCGGAGGCGCGTCCGAGTCTGGGCGCCGATCGGCTCGCGGCCCAAGCAGGCCTGAGGGCCCTTGCGGCCGAGCGTCATGCTGCGCGGGACCGCTCCGCGCCGCAGAGGGCGGAGCGATTTGGCGTTGTTGGTAGTGGCGAGCCCCTTCTGAAGGTCCAGCGGGCCCTGGTGCGCGGCATCTGTCCCGCCCTCTACTTGTCGCCCCCTCTCTTCCCGTGTTCCCCTCCCCGCTCTCTCATCGCGTGGATTCAAGAACGCTTGGCCGGTTGGTTTTCGATCCCTCTTGAGCGTACGAGGCGCTTCGACTGGGATCACATCCGTGCCACTCTGCTCTAAGCCACTCCCTTCTGGCGGATGGCGGCCATCCGAACTTGGTCGGGAGGATGGGTCACTGACACACGATTGCGAAATGACTTTCGAGGCTGCTTGCTCGGCTGTGAATGTAGCCGTGATAGCCTATTTCATTATCTATCTTGCCGTAGATGTTTCTGGAATGTTGTCATGGTCTCCCACTCTCATCTTCCTGCCGCCCTTCCTGGGCGTCTTGCGTTGAGTGAGTGCTCGCTTGTCCGCCTGCGTCAGTTGCTCATTCTTTAACATTTCCATCGGCTGCTGCACTCTCGAAGTCGGTCGCCCGACTGGGCGGCGCCCGACCCGCCGACCTCCCTCCTCGTCGCTCGCGCCGCCCGCCTCGCCACGGACTTGCCGATGGGGGAGTGGCGGTGGTCACGCAGCAGGCAGCAGGGAGGGCAGGGGTAGCTGACTTAAGGGACCTCTGTGGACACTCCGCCGCCTCCTCCTCCCCGTTGCACCTGTTCCATCCCCATAAGCCTGCCCTGGAGTGCGTTCTGGCCAGGAGATCTGGGCGTGGGGTCGAGGGTGTCTCGGGAGGCCTACAGAAGGACCCCAACGTATCTGAAACCTCGACCATTCGAACGGCGACGACGACGGCCACGACGACCACGACGACCACGACGACCACGACCACGACCACGACCACGATGGTGATGATGATACTGATGATGATGATGACGGCGACGACGATGATGATGATGATGATGATGTTGCTGATGATGATGCTGATGGTGATGAATATTATTAGTACGTAGTATGATTACGATGGTTTTGATGATGATGATGATGACGATGATGATGATGATGGTGGTGGTGATGGTGATACTGACTATGAGTATGATGATGATAACGATGATGACGATGATAATGATGATGTTGATGATGATGATGGTGGGGGGGTGGTGATGGTGATGATCATGATGATGATCGTGATGGCGATGATGATGATCATGATCATGATCATGATCATGATGATGATGATGATGATGATGATGATGATGATGATGATGATGATGATGATGATGATGATGATGATGATGATGATGAGGGTGGGGATGAGGTTGAGAGTGAGGGTGATGATGATGGTGAGGGTGAGGATGAGGGTGAGAGTGGGGATGAGGGTGAGGGTGGCGGTGGTGGTGAGGGTGAGGGTGAGGGTGGTGGTGGTGGTGATGGTGATGGTGAGGGTGAGGGTGAGGGTGAGGGTGAGAGTGAGGGTGAGGGTGAGGATGAATGTGATGGTGATGGTGATCATGATGACGACGTTGGTGGTGGTGGTGATGGTGGTGAGCATGGTGGTGGTAATGATGGTGATGGTGATGACGACAACGCTGCCGACGACGACGACGACGGCGACCGACGACGACGAAGGCGACAACGATAACGACGACGACGATGACTATGATGGCGATTACGACGACGATGACGGCGGCGACGGCGATGATGACGGCAAAGCGGCCCTCGCCAGGCCTACATGACCATAACGGGCGCCGCGGGTTGCCGTCTTGTGCAGACCCTCGGCTGCGAGGTGGACGTGCGTTCCCTTAGGCGCTCGCGGAGGAGGAGGTGGAGGAGAAGGAGCCATGCGCCCTGGCAAGATGCGCTCTCTCGAATGGCGCTCACTCGCAATTCACGTGGGAAGTTAGAGGCCCAGCTGCAACGACAGCGGCTCCAGCTTCATACTCCCTCGTGCTTTATTCAGAGAAGCCCTGGCCAGATACGTTCTCGCATTCAAACATGGTACCCGGGGCGCCGAACCAGCCGACAGAGCCTCTCGGATGTCATCGCGCTTGTGACGCAGAACCCTCCTGGGTTTGCGCCTGTAGCGCTGAACCCCCCCGGGCTCGTGCTACATTGGCTGGGAGCGCTGAACCTCCTGCGGGCACGTTAGCTCGCATGAGGGTCATGGCAGCGTTGTGCGCATGCAGGGCGCACTGCTGAACACTTGTCCTTGAACACTTCTCCAAACAGCTGGGTGCTTGAAGCGCAGACGATTCATCCCAACACGCAAATCCCCTGGTGCTCGACTTCGAGGGCAGGTGCAAGGGAAGCCGCATGGGAGGTCGCACCAGCTCCTCAGATCGCGTTCGCAAGATGGTCGTCGTCGTCGTCGCCGTCTCCATCTTCGCTGGGCATGTAATCGTTTTGATTCATTGTTTCGCCGATCGGCGCGGGCCCCAAAACCCCGTCTCCCCCCCCTCCTGGAGTAGATCTTGGCTGTTTTTTGGCACCTGTTTCGAGCGAGTGGAGTCTCCCCCAGAGGCTGCACTCTTGCAAACAGTCGCACTAAGCGGAGGTCTCGAGCCAGACCCCCCCCTCCCCCCCCCTTCCGCCCAATGTCGAAACGCCGAATATAAGAACGTTCACCATGCCGCGGCCCGCCCCCGCCTGGGCTCTTGCCTTCTGGACCGTGCTCTTGGCCGCACCCCGGGCGACGCATAACTCATCGGATGGCAGGCGCAGTCGTTCGGCGCCCGGCGGTGGGGGGCCACGCGCCGCTCCTCTGAGCGGGACTCGAGCCGCGTCTGTTCGGACATGGGCCCCTCCGAAGTCTCCGTTTCTCCTGCTGCTGCTGCTCCTGCTGCTGCTGCAGGCTGCGTTGTTGAAATTCGAGGTTGGCGCTGCAGCCGTTCCGTCTCTAATCTAATGTCCGCCCTTCGTGGGCCTCCTGGGGTCCTTCGTCGTCAAAGCTGGATTTGCCTCAAAGTCTTGTTCAGAACACGCTTCAGGAGAGGTACGGGGATAAGTCTGGGAGGAGCACCAATGAACAAGATAATGCCCGAAGGTATCGGCAGGCTCCCTTCCCACTGCCTTAATCGGCAGCTCCTTGCAGCCCTGCTCTCCCAAGATCGCGCCTCACAATCTGATGACTTCACATGAAGCGTATCATTACGAAGCTAGGTTTAGATGGCGTCATCGCTTTGGAGGGTCTCCGAGCAGAGACAGAGCCCCCCTGCAACGCGTCCAGCGTGAAACCATTAAACCATGTGATTACGCCCTTGTGCGAAATGGGGCTTCTTTCCTCACCCATGCCCCCCACATGCAGGCTCAATAGACATGATGATGTCTTGCCTGTCTTCAGACGTCAGTGGCTCTGGGAAGGAAGGTCCCAATACAGCAGATGGCACTCGGCGAAGGGTTCGAACTGGTGGCACCAACATCCCGACTGGCCTGTGGCCCTCCTCGTCCTCGGAGATCGAGATTTCTGAATGTTTGACCCTCCTCCTCCTCCTCCTCCTCCTCCTCCTCCTCCTCCTCCTCCTCCTCCTCCTCCTCCTCCTCCTCCTCCTCCTCTGTGGGGGCGTCGCCGGGACCCTGGAGGCCTCCAAAGGCCCTCGGGGAGCCCTGCGGACTTCTTGAGACGTGGCCCGAGTAGTACCCCGATGTCAATATCGGCAGAAGGCAGATTGGGATGTGACGGACCACATAGCCATTACACCACGGCCAGACGAGCAGGAGGACCATAGAAGGAGCAGGAGCAGCAGCAGCGACGGCGAGAGGAGAGCAGGAGGAGAAGGGAGCCACATGACGAGGAGGATTTGCCGCGCCCCAGCGCCAGAAGTGCAGGTCCGTCTACGGCTGAAGTTTGGAACAGGCATTGATTTCTCTATTGCGACGTGCACAGTTTCCCCTCCTGATTGCTCATAATACGATCGGGTGTTTGTTGGGGTCCAGGTCCGCCATGACACCCGTCGGCGGTTAGCGAAAAAACAACGAAGGGGAGGGTGGGAGGGGTAGGATGTCAGATAAGGTGCGAGCGCGCGTAGCTTGTGTCTCTCTCCCTCTCTCTCTGATATCTCGCTTGCACCCCTCTATCGCCAGGCGGTGCCCGAAACGGTGGGCCTGCATCCAAGGACGCCTGCGCTCTGCCCGCCGCGCTCTCCGCCGCGCTCCTCTGGCAGCCCAGGGCAAGCCTCGCCGGTATCCAGAGCTATCCAGGGGGCCACTGCATCCCGGAGGGGAGGTCTCCGGCACGGGGGTCCCAGAAACCTCCAGAGGCCGCAAAAAGTTCCGAAAACAAAAGTTGAACCATCCTCGAATCTCGATTCTACTCCCCCCCGCCTCCAGGCTGAAAGTCGTAGGCCGGGTCGCACTGCCAGTCGATCTGTCAACCGTCGATTGACAGTTGGGCTGCCTGCGCACACCCCCTGACGATCGCTTTTGACTGGCGGTGGCGCTGTCCAGACTGCACCGTGCCTTGGGACTTGTCTAGGGGCGGGTCTTGACAACGAGGCCATGCATCGGCATTATACTTCGCACTGGTTCCAGATGAGGTGGGACGGACAACAGCAGCGAGCAAGGAACGGAGAGAGAGAGAGAGAGAGATGTTCATCACCAGACGTATCGATGTACCTATACGACCACCCTTCGGGTGATAAGGAGGTTCGGGGGGGGGGGGAACCAACGTCTCACTCGATCGCTCTCACTATCGATCTCACTATCGATCTCACCATCGGTCTCGCTCGATCGATCCTACTCGATCGATCTCACAATCGATCTCGCTCGATCTATTTCATTCGATCGATCTCACAATCGATCTGACGATCGATCTCACAATCCATGTCACTATCGATCTCACGATCGATCTCACAATTGATCTCCCATTCGGATCACTATCGATCTCACGATCGATACCACAATCGATCTCACAATCAACGTCATCATCATCAACATCATCGTCATCAACAGTATTATCATCATCGGGAAACCATCATCATCATCACCTCATCACCATCATCATCAACATCATCATCATCACCATCATCAGCATCGGGACACCATCATCGTCACCATCATCATCATCAACATCATCAGCATCGGGACACCATCATCATCGTAATCGGCATCGGAGCACCACCATCATCATCATCATAATATCAACATCATCATCATGAACAACATCATCAGCATCATCATCGGGACACCATCATCATCAGCAACATCATCATCATCATCATCAACATCCTCATCATCATCGAGACACAATCATCATCGTCACCATCAGCATCACCATCATCATCATCGGGACACCATAATCAACACGATCATCACCATCATCGGGCCACCATCATCCAAATCATCATCACCTCCTCGTTATCCTCATCGCCAACATCATCATCATCGGGACACCATCATCGTCATCATCATTATCATCAACGTCATCATCACCAGGACACCATCATCACCATATCATCATCACCATCATCATCAACAGCATCATCATCAACCTCATCATCACCATCATCATCGGGGCACCATCATCATTAGCATCCTCTTCATCACCACAATCACCATCACCATCACCATCCCATCATCACATCATCATCAACATCATCAGGACCATCATCATCATCACTATCGGGACACAATCAGCAACCTCAGCATCAGCAACATCATCATCGGGACACCATCATCATTACCCATTGTCACCATGGCCATCATCACCACCATCATCATCATAAACATCGTCAACATCATCAAGATCATCATCATCGGAACACCATCATCATCACCACCACCATCATCATCATCAACATTATTGACATCATCATCATCATGATCATCATCATCATCATCATAGGGACACCGGCGGGACACCGCGGGCCACCAGCCCCCGGAAAGGAATCATTTGGTCCGGCCGCGCCTCAGCCGGAGGCGGGACGCCGGCGGGACACCGCGGGCCAACGGCTCCCGGAAAAGAATCATTTGGTCCGGCCGCGCTTCAGCCGGATGAGATTTTCTTCTCGCCCGCCCACGCAGCTTACCCTCGCCCGCACGCACGGCACGCACGAACACGAAACCGAAACCGATTTCCCGGTATGGGGGCTCTCCGTCCCTTTTCGATCTCACCCCCTCACCTCCGATAAACAAAATGCAAGTGTGATTACGGCGGAGGGCATTGAGAGAGTTTTTGTCATATGTATATATAGACATACATATATTCATATATACATACATACATATTCATACATAGATGTAGAGAATATATTTGTATATATATAGAGAGAGAGGGAGACCGACTGACACAGACATACACCAGACCCATACTCACAGACATACAGACATATACGTCCATGTATTATGTACAGACGGAGAAAGAGGCAGAGAGAGGTGGAGATATGGAGATGGAAAAGAAACGAGCACCAAGCATACGCACACATCAGAAATTGAAGGTTCCCCCATGGTGAGGCTGAAATCTTAGGGCGCCAGCCTCCGCTCGTTTCCGATTATCCTGCTGGCCCTTTCTCTGTGTGCCTATCGCAGAGCATGGAACAGCCAGGAATGAGCAGAACTAGGGCCGAACAGCATCAAACATGAATGGCACGTCAGCATGCAAACATGGCGGGGCCTGAACAGAGGCACCAGGTCGTGTACTAACCCGTAGTCATAATATAATGAAAATAGCAAAACAACCACATGACAGCTAGACAGACAAGTGTGATGTGTTGTGTATGACTTCCGGGTATCGTCAACAACAACAAGAACAAGAACAACAACAACAACAACAACAACAACAACAACAACAACAACAACAACAATCAGTATAAGATTGTTCGCTCTGATTTGTCCGAGTGACATTTAAAACGAGTTCCCCACACCCTCGATACCCGCCCTTTTTGTCTTCGGTCACACCCCCTTTGGAGGGATTTTTCTCTTCGCGGGGGGCGGCGGGCTTAGACAGGCGGGCAAACCTGAACGGACGGATAATCCTTCGTGGGCGTACATGTGCCCGCCATTGGAGTTGGTGTGGGCCCTGCAAAAAGAGGAGGGGGAGAACGAGGGATAGTGGGAGGAAGAGGGGGAAGGACGAAGGAAGAGGGAAAACGCCAGGAGAGAAGGAGCGAAGAAGGGGGCGGTTGATTAGAGGCAGAAAGAGAGAAAGACAAATAAGGGAGGTTGAGAAAGAGAGAGACAGAGAGGTAAGAGAGAGAGAGAGAGAGACAACAAAAAAAGGGAGGGAGGAGGCAAAAGAGGGGAGGGAGAAGGGAGGAGGGAGAGGAGGGACAGGGGATAGGGCAGAGAGGCAGAAGGATGAGGGAAGAGAGGAGGGAGAGAGAAGGGAGGAGATGAGGGAGGAGGGAGGAAGGAGAAGGTGGAAGAACAAGTAGGTATGAGCGTCAACGTTCGAGGAAGTCCTAGGCGAAAGCGCCGTTCCTGAAGGAAGTGTCGGGCGGGAGCCCACGACGGGCGGGCGATCCCCTGACGGGCGGGTCGGGCGGGTGTGACATTCAAGCGGGATGCCTGAGTATGGCGAGAGCGCGATTACGAAGTACATTGTAGCGGCGCCCTTGGCGCAGAGTGTTTCCTGAGCGTCGAAAGCGCGATTTCTGAATAAATTGCATGGAAGTCACAGGCGAAGACGCAATTCCTGAAAATGTGGGGGTTCTCTGGCGGGGGCGGGGGTCTTGATTCAATTGCGAGGAAGTCTCAAGCGGGAGCGCCGTTCCTGAGTGAATTGTGAGGAAGTCTCATCTGGGAGCGGGGGTCCTGACTAAATTGTGAGGGGCTCACAGGCGGGAGCACCGATCCTGAATAAATTGCGAGAAAGTCTCAGGAGCGGGGGTCCTGAGTAAATTTGGAAGAAGTCTCAGGCGGGAGCCGTTGTTGTTTTAATCCGGGGGGCCAGCGGTCCAGTTTGAGCCCGAAGATTTTCCCTTTCAAAAAGCAGGGTGCGAACGTCGAGGGCGCACTTTGATTGAGAAAAAAACAGCCTGCACCGGTGAAGGGGGACCAGCAATCATTATTTGTCCGAAGTGAGAGTACAACAACAACAACAACGACAACAATAATGTTAAGACTGTTCGCTCTTACTGGCATGCGAGTTTTGCATTCTGTATACCCCAACCCTCGATACCAGCCCACTTCGTCTTCGATCGCACCCCCTTTCAGGGGGAATGTCTTCCTTTTCGGCCACTCACTGAAGTGCGAGGAACTCTCGAGCGAGAGCGCCGTTCCTGAGTTTAGGGACTTCGCTGGCCAGGCCAGGGGTTCGGGGAATACATATTGAGAAATATCGAACGGGAACCCTTTCGCCGTGTCTGGGCCTGCACCAACTTGCATGACTTACGATAAAATTTCGAACGAGAGCACCACGCTTGAGTTCGGGGGCCTCTCTGGCAAGGGCCTCTGCGAATACATCATGAGGAAGTATCGAACGAGAGCCCTTGTCGTCGTAGTTGGGCTTCCACCAATTTGATTGAATCACGAGAAAGTCTTGAGCGAGAGCGCCGTTCCTGAGTTCGGGGGCCTTCCTGGCCAAGGGCTGTCGGAGTAAACCGTGAGGAAGCATCGAGCAGGAGCCCTTGTCGTCGTGGCTGGGCCCCCGCCAACTTGACTGAATTGCGAGGAAGTCTCGAGCGAAAGCGCCGTTCCTGAGTTCGGGGGCCTTCCTGGCCAGGGTGTCTCGAGGTCACTTGTGAGGAAGTATCGAGCGGGAGCCGTTGTCGTTGTAGCCAGGCTTCTAAGGGCACACTGTTGCACTCAAACCCGCTCGCGCGGGAGCCTCGTTTTCAGAGAAATGTAGCCAGCGTCGAGGCGAGAGCGCGCGGAACCGTTTCCGGAGATCAACAGTAAGTTTTCTTTAGAAATGAGTATTCAACAGCAGCAACAACAACAACCATAACAGAAACAGCAACCACAACCACAACCATAGTAGCACCCACAATGACAACAACAGCAGCAACAACAACAGCAACAACTATCATTATAAGACTGTTCGCTCTTACTTGCCCGCGTGTCATTCAAAACGAGTCCCCCACACCCTCGACACCCGCCCTTTAATGTCTTCGATCACACCCCCCTTTGGGGGGATCCTTTCTCTTCGCGGGGGGCGGCGGGCTTAGACAGGCGGGCA